CGGGAATAATCCACTTCCGCCTGAAGTATGGCTATGTCCTTACTCTCTGCCATTTCATCCAGGTCTCTCATCATTAGTGCACATTTTATTTCGATGCTTTAGGTTCATTCTAGGCAGGATAAGAGAAATTCAAACCTCCCTTCATTAAAAATCTTGATTAAATAACAGAGGTCTTACTAGCAGTAATATGTCCATAGACTTGTCCCTGTTAACTGCCTAAGTTCTAATCTTTACGGTTTATGAATTTCAAATTTTACACTTATAGGAAGAATGTGGTGTCATTGCCGAATGGTGTATTTGCCCATGTCATATTTGTATGGGAAAAGGTTTGTTGGACCTATCACACCCACAATCCGGTCATTGAGGAAGGAGCTTTATACAGCCCCCTATCATGAAGTTGACTGGAATAAAGCTCGCAATCTATGTGCAAAGGTTGGTAAGAAACATCTGCGCTTTCAATATACTCTGCTTCCTCCAGCTCCCCTGTGTAAAGGTCCCGTGTCTGTGAGTTTAATGAACTTTCTTATCTTTCATAGGGTTAGTCACAGACTCACAAGTGAAATATATGATAGCTATTTGTGAAAGTACAAGTTTGATTTTAGGGTCCTAGACATGGTTAATTGTTGGATTGCTTTCCTATAACTCTCCAAAAACAATACAACACGTTTTCCCTGCGTCTATGTATATATGCGCATGCATTTTTCCATCGAATTTTAGTTGTACAGGTAAATCTATTAATGACAATTCACTTGCATATGTTTTTGATTCTTACATGGGATGCTTTATACAATTTCTAGGAAGATCTATACTATCCACACCCAATGGTACAAGATGTCTTGTGGGGGTCTCTTCACTATGTTTATGAACCTGTTTTCACACGTTGGCCTGCAAAAGAATTGAGGGACAGTGCTTTGAAGACTGTAATGCAGCATATTCATTATGAAGATGAAAATACTCGGTATATATGCATAGGGCCTGTTAACAAGGTATGCATGCAGAATATATTTGATGCATATCATCGTCTGGCAATAGATCTCATACATATTTTGCCGTTGGAATTGCGCAATTGACATGTATTTTTGGCTTAAAGATTGATTCGGCAAGTAGTTGTGTGATTCTTGATTGTCTATTTCATAAACGATGTAGGTGTTAAATATGCTTTGTTGTTGGGCGGAGGATCCAAACTCAGAAGCATTCAAATTGCATCTCCCGAGAATCCCTGATTATTTGTGGATTGCTGAAGATGGCATGAAAATGCAGGTCAGTTATTAGCATTAAATTGTTTCAAACAGATTTTAAGTTCCTCCCTATCTCTTTCCACACTCCCTCTTTCTTACCTGATTGTTTCTAATTTAATGTTTATTTTTCCTCTTACTGCAGGGCTACAATGGAAGTCAAGCATGGGATACTTCTTCTTTTGCCATTCAAGCAATTATATCAACTAACCTGGTTGAAGAATATGGACCTACTTTAAGAAAAGCGCATCAGTATATCAAAGATTCCCAGGTTTTCATAGGCAGAAAATTGAACTGTATCATTCAACATTTATGATAACTATCGTTGCTCGACTAATACTTTGCTTTGAAGGTCGTGGAAGATTGTCCTGGAGATCTGGATTATTGGTATCGTCACATTTCAAAAGGTGCTTGGCCATTCTCAACAGCAGATCATGGGTGGCCTATCTCTGACTGCACAGCAGCTGAAGGACTGAAGGTAGCTTGAACACTCAACATTTCACATGCAAACATTATTTTTCTTAATATTTTTTCTTTGTGCAGGCTGCCTTATTACTATCGAAACTTCCAACAGAAACAGTTGGTGAATCATTGGATATAAAGCGATTTTATGATGCTGTAAATGTTACCCTTTCCTTACAGGTAATCACTGGCTATACGGGAGTTGAATCTGACCAGACATAATGTGGCAACCCGTATTCTTTTTTATAATCTATATTTTCAAGAGAACCCTCCTTGTCTCTCGTCATATATGAAATGAAAAATATATCCCTGCTTAATTGACCATTTTATTATGTAATCTGTAGACTACGGTAAAAAATATTACTCTAATGTCCATCAAAAAATTGGAAGCTATGGAGAAAGTGTAGCATATATAGTTATGAGAATATAAAAGAAAGACTGTACATGCAAGTATTTCTGTATGATATATGCACACATGCCTGTTTAGTTCTGTCAAGCATGTCATGATTCTAATCAGCAGCTCAAGTTTGACAGAATATTTACATGTTCTTGCATTTTCGTTTTACAATTCTTTAACTAATTCCCTAATTCTTTGGGTTCTGCACCGCAGAATGACGATGGTGGTTTTGCGACTTATGAACTAACTAGATCGTATCAGTGGTTAGAGGTAAGTATCATTTATGAGCTTTTTTTTTTTTTTTTCCGTTTTCTTCCTTCTATATGTATGATGGTGAGATCATATGCATATGATTATTCGTATTATATTTTCAGCTAATCAACCCTGCCGAAACTTTTGGTGACATCGTCATTGATTATCCGTACGATTTCTGTACACTACCTTTTGAATTCTATACATTTTATTCTATATCATGGAAAATGCCTGAAGTCATCTTGATTGGAACGGGGGATGCAGATACGTTGAATGCACCTCAGCAGCAATTCAAGCACTTGCATTGTTCAAAAGGTTATGTCCTGCGCATAGGAGTGATGAAATAGAAAACTGCATTGCTCGTGCTGCAAAGTTCATTGAAACGATACAAGCAACAGATGGATCTTGGTTTGTTTTTTCTTTCAATTAAAAATACATGCATACATATATTTCACTGCGTGGTCTGGGTGTATGATGGCTGTATGTTTTTGGTCGTATAGGTATGGTTCCTGGGGAGTATGCTTCACCTATGCTGGGTGGTTTGGAATAAAGGGGTTGGTTGCTGCGGGAAGGACATACGAAGACTGCTCAAGCATCCGTAAAGCATGCGACTTTTTGTTATCCAAAGAGCTTCCTTCAGGTGGATGGGGAGAAAGCTATCTATCATGTCAGAACAAGGTTAATGATTCCTCAAATTTGAAATATACTTCGTTGTCTTTCATAGGCTCGGAGCTTACTTTATTCTTCTATTATGACAAATCCTTCACTCAATTCTTGGTTTTCATTCGCATACACATTTGGCAAAATGTATGATCTACTTTCGACTTGCATAACTTAATGCCGACTGTTTGTATGTCAGGTGTATACAAATCTCAAGGACAATAGGCCACATATAGTTCATACTGCATGGGCTATGTTGGCCCTTATTGGTGCTGGGCAGGTACAACAAATTCATCACTCATTCTCCTTTCCATGTGATTTATCAAATTCATCCTTCCACGGATACCGAATTTGGTGTCAATTAGAATTTAGAGGATTCTTTATTTGCAGAATTTTTGGAAACTTTTTACAAATAACCGTTTGACATCCATATGTTGCTCACTTTATTACCTGTATTTCTTGTTATGTTCTCCTCCTTGAAAGGCTAAGAGAGACCCAACTCCGTTGCATTGGGCAGCTAGAGTACTAATCAATTCTCAAATGAAAAATGGAGATTTCCCTCAGAAGGTAACTTGGCAACTCCTTCCATAATGTTTCATACAAAAGTCTTTATACCCTCTTGACCGTGCAATCTACAATTTCAAGCTAACATGGATTTTTCTGTCTTCATGGAAATCCATTTGGTTTGGTTTGATTACAGACATGGCAACTGCAATTTTCAAAACATCTAGCCAATGTATAAGAAAACTGTACAGAGAGAAATGCAGGTGTAAAGACCTTTAGTACTTTTCTAAGCTGCACAGAGTAATTAAACCTTATAAATATATGTATAGCTTTTGGAGCAAGTAATATAAGTAATTAGTGTTATTCAAATAGGCAAATTGAACAATCTTAAGTGTTGAGAGTATGCATCCCCACATCGGGCAATTGAGGGACCTTGCATGTGCTTATAAGTAATTGGGTTACTCCTCCTATTTCCAATTGGTTTTATGGTGGAACCTCAACTTTATTCATGGTATCAGAGTAGGTTGTCCATGTGTGAAGATCTACGGGCACACGTGCTCCACGTCACATGATTTGTGTTGTCCACGTGTTAGGCTTGAAGGTTCGCCACACGTGAGGGATGTGTTGAGAGTACGTATTAATCACACATCGAGGACAGAAAGGACTTTGAATGTGCTTATAAGTTGTTGGGCTACTCCTCATATTACCAATTAGTTTTACGGTGGAACCTCCGCTTTCTTCATTGAGTATATATGTACTGGAAACCAAGATCTTAGAGAGTAAATCTCATGCAGGAAGTTTGTAACTATGATTACCACTTACGAAGGCTATATGACCTCAATAACGTTTACTTCCCATACAGGAGATCACTGGTGTCTTCAACAAGAACTGTATGATCAGCTATTCAGCCTACCGGAACATTTTTTCCAATTTGGGCCCTCGGAGAATATCGTTGCCAAGTATTGGAGGCTCTCTGAATGATGTCTGTTTATTGTTCAACGCTTAGTACTCCGGATAATGAACTGTTGTTTATAAACCTGTATGAGAGCTTAAACTCAGCTCAAAACAATGTAATTCAATTGATAACATATTTCATAATATTATTGTTACTAATTTCTCACTGGCTGGGGTGTCCACACCACCACCTTCCCTGTGTTTGTCGTTCTCGGCTCCTTTGCCCGTGGGATGTAATTTCCCACTGGCTTCCTTTGTTTTGTGGTTTAGATCTCTGTTGTGGCTGTTAGTGGATGTTGAAGATTTCTTATTTTTCCGATTTTGTGGCTTGGAGCGTCTCCTGGAGGTGTTGGTTCGTGCTGGGATGGAGGCTGCTGGGTTGGAAGTGCTCCGATGGCGGCTGGGATGGTAGGCTGCTAGTATATATTTGTAATATTGTGTTATCAAATCATGGAATTACTATTCTATGTGGTATTACTAGTTTTAGGTTCCCTTTTTCCGAGTACAACCCTAGCCTCCTTCCTCTTTCTTCCCAATTTGCCGTCCCCCTCTAAGTTAGTATTCCCCAAATTGTTTTTCCTTTGCCGTGCCTACCTACCCCTTATTCCCCATGGCTACACAAGCTTCTTCATCCTCTACCCTCGCTGGACGTCTCTCTCCGGTCCTAACGTTGCTCACTTTTTGAAACTCACCGATTCCAACTACCTCTTTTGGCTTAGTCAGATGAAGCCGTTTCTTCTCGGTCATAATTTATTTGCCTATGTTGATGGCACGACACTGGCCCCTGCCGCCACTCTTCCTGCTACTGACAAGGAACCTGTCAAACCGAATCCAGCTATTGCTCTGTGGTTTCAGACTGATCAACTAGTTGTCAGTTATTTGACTTCCACTCTTTTTGAACCTATTTTGTCACTTACTATTGGCAAAACCTCTGCCAAAGATATCCATATGCATTTTTCTCAGGCTTCACTGACTGATGCCGCGAATCTCCTGTTTCAACTTCTGGCACTTACGAAAGGCTCCCGCTCCATCTCTGATTATCTTCACCAGGCTAAGTTTATTGTTCTCTTGCTCCTATTAATCAACATGTTTCTAATACTTATTTGGTGAGCTTTGTCCTTAATTAAAGGTCTTGATCCTGATTTTTCAATATTTGCAGCGGCTATTATATTAACTCTCCCTCTACCGGAGTTCCCTGATTTGCGGTCGCGTCTCATGATTTTCGAGGCACAAACAAAAACTGACCCAGCACTGTTGCTATGCTCGCCGCCGTCCCTGCACCCGGTGTCCCTCCCCAGCCTTTTCTCCCCGTGGGCCAGCCCCTGCAGCCCAATCTCGTGCAGCCTCAAAAAGGCCTTCAGCAGCAGCCTCCCGCTGCATTTCATGTGCAAGGCCCAGCTGATCACATGTTAGCGCAAGGCCCATCGTTATTTGTTTAAAGCATGTATTGTCTTACTTAAAATGGAAGCATCGGCTAACTATCACGTGGTGGTTTAATAGTTGGAGATGAATTTCAGGCTCTTGTTCTACACGGCACATTTTGAATTCAATTCTTGGCATTGGTGAATCGCACGATGGTGGCCAATGAAAGGCTAAAATGCTTCTACGAGTCTTCTCGACTTTCAAAAGGATGAACTATCCTTCTTTTATTTTTTATTTTTATAAAAGGAAAAGAAAATAGAAGCCAAACCACATTTGAACCATGCATGAAACCATTCTAGCCACCACTTATGTGCCATGGACTATCGACCGATGAATTCTATAGTCTTTGGTTATTTTTTTATTCGTAGAAAAAATAATTTTTCATATTTATGCCTTTAGTGGTTAGAATTTTGTTCAACAATAAAAAATGGAACCAAGTTTCACTATAAAGATTCTTAGAATGCTAGTTATTTAGTCATAAATGACTTGGAGTGTATTCAAATAATAAATTTTGGCTTAGTTTTAGTTATATACCTTGAAACTTGATTTCAATCTCATTTGCTCTTTGTAACTCAAAAATCCTTATTTTACTTCTTAAAACTCAAAGTTCGCTTCACTTTGTCCTCTGAAACTCGATTTTGATCCCATTTCCCCCATGAAACTTGAAAGTCATCTCTACAAAACTCAAAATTCCCTCCACTTTGTCCTCAGAAACTCGATTTTGATACCATTTCCCCCATGAAACTTGAAAGTCATCTCTACAAAACTCAAAATTCCCTCCACATTGCCTTAGATATGTTAATTTCTTATGTGGGTTGATTTGGGTGCGGTAGGCTAATCGATTTCTTTTTTATATGAAGTTCTAAGAGGTATAGGTAGAAATATGCCTAAAATGTTACTTGAAACCCTTCAAGGCCTAAACATCGCTTCATATGTTATCTAATGTTAAAAATGACTTGGGGTGTATTGAGATAATAAAATTTATTTAAAATCCTTCTACGCCTAAATATTCATTTCTTATTACAACACATTAGTCGTTTAATTTTAAATTTTGAAGTTGGCTGCATGCATTTGACCAAATGTTGGGTGGCCATAAAATAACTAAAACAGAATTAATAAATAAAAATAGGGTAAAAGACTGTTTACTACCCTCATGTTTCATGGTTTTCAACATTTAGTACATCAAGTTTTTTTCGTCTCAGAGTCATACCTAAAGTGTAAATTTTGGGACAATATCATACATCCGTTAGTCAAACTGTTAAATTTGCCGTTAATTGTGACGTGGCGCCCATGTGGACAATGACTGGGCGCCACGTGTCATCCACGTTTTTTTTTTTTTTTTTTTCTTCTTTTCTTCTTCTTCTTCTTCCACCCGACTGCAACATTTTTTTTTTCCTTCCTCCTTCTCCTTCCTTCCCCTTCTTCTCCTTCTTCCTTCTCTTCCTCCGAATCTGGGGAAGTTTTTTTTTTCATCCTCCTTCTTCCTCCTTCTTCCTTCCTCTTCTCAGATTCGGTTTTTTTTTTTTTTTTTTTTTTTTCTTCTTCTTCTTCCACCCGACTGCAACATTTTTTTTTTCCTTCCTCCTTCTCCTTCCTTCCCCTTCTTCTCCTTCTTCCTTCTCTTCCTCCGAATCTGGGGAATTTTTTTTTTCTTCCTCCTTCTTCCTCCTTCTTCCTTCCTCTTCTTCTTCTTCTTCTTCTTCCTCCGAATCTGCCCAGATTCGGTTTTTTTTTTTTTTTTTTTTTTTTTTTTTTTTTTTTTTTGAAGAAGAAGGAAGAAGAAGAAGGAAGGAAAAAAATAAAAGAAAAAAGGTTGCAGTCGGAGGAAGAAGAAGAAGAAAGAAAAAAAAAAAAAAAGAAGCCGAATCTGGGCAGATTCGGAGGAAGAAGAAGAGGAAGGAAGAAGGAGGAAGGAGGAGGAAGAAGAAGAAAAAAAAAAAAACTTCCCCAGATTCGGAGGAAGAAGAAGAAGAAGAAGAAGAAGAAAAACAAGGAGAAGGAGAAGAAGGGGAAGGAAGAAGGAAGAAGGAAGAAGGAGGAAGAAGAAGAAAGAAGGAAAAAAAAAAACGAATTTGGGCAGATTCGGAGGAAGAAGAAGAAGAAGAAGGAATAAGGAGGAAGGAGAAGGAAGCAGGAAAAAAAAATTCCCCAGATTCGGAGGAAGAAAAAGGAGAAGGAGAAGGAGAAGGAAGAAGAAGGAAGAAGGAGAAGAAGGGGAAGGAAGAAGGAGGAAGGAAGAAGGAGAAGGAGGAAGAAAAAAAAAAAAGTTTGCAGTCGGGTGGAAGAAGAAGAAGAAGAAGAAAGAAGAAAGAAGAAGAAGAAAGAGAAAAAAAAAAATCCCCAGATTTGGAGGAAGAAAAAGGAGAAGGAGAAGGAAGAAGAAGGAAGAAGGAGGAAGGAAGAAGGAGAAGGAGGAAGGAAAAAAAAAAAGTTTGCAGTCGGGTGGAAGAAGAAGAAGAAGAAGAAGAAGAAAGAAGAAAGAAGAAGAAAGAAAAAAAAAAAAATTCCCCAAATTCGGAGGAAGAAAAAGGAGAAGGAAGAAGAAGGAAGAAGGAGAAGAAGGGGAAGGAAGAAGGAGGAAGGAAGAAGGAGAAGGAGGAAGAAAAAAAAAAGTTTGCAGTCGGGTGGAAGAAGAAGAAAGAAGAAAGAAGAAGAAGAAAGAAAGAAAAAAAAAAAAAACGTCACAAAAAAAAACGTGGCTAACACGTGGCGCCACGTCATTGTCCACATGGGCGCGACGTCACAATTAACGGCAAATTTAACAGTTTGACTAACGGATGTATGAGACTGTCCCAAAATTTACACTTTAGGTATGATTCTGAGACGAAAAAAACTTGATGTACTAAATGTTGAAAACTATGAAACATGAGGGTAGTAAACAGTCTTTTACCCATAAAAATAAGTAAGTGGGTGAAGATGGTGACAAGAGGTGGGGGTGGGTTGAAATCGTTTTCCCAAATTAAGTAAAGGGAGATGGTCTCCCTGGATAGCCCCCTTGCATCTATCTTCGCACTTTGCACTTGGCACGCTTGAATCCTCTTCTGGGTTGGTTGAAGTTGGCCCTATTATCCTTTCATTTTATAAACTTCGTGATGTGCAAACTACCTTAAGTATCCTCCTCCATGTACATTGAATCCGGGCTTTTAAGCTTTTGTCGGTTTCGGATTGCAAGTTCACCTTACATGGTTATAGCCACCAACCCCACATGTTCGAAATGTTGCTAGGTCAGGAAGATTGAGTGCGGGTTTAAGATGCCACTAGCCGAGGAACTCGTCATTCATTTTAAACCACTAGGCCTTTATTTTATTTTATTTTTACTTAGTTAAACCTCGATGATCTTTTCATCAAGTCATTGCCGATGTCTAGTTTTTAGAAGCTCATATGAGGAACTGAAATGCGGAAATTGTCCGATTTACACTTGCAATCTAATTAGGGAGTTTTGTTGATTTCTAAGAGAGTATTTGATAAATACCAAGTTGACCTTAATGTACTTTTTTTCATTTGTTCATGAGCATTTTTCCATTGAGTTTTGCTAATCTGACAAGGTTTTAGTGAGACACCTATCTTGGGTTGGTCATACTCTGTGAACATTAATCAGTGCTTGGTTACTTTAAACATTGACTTTGCACTTTTTACCTTTTTTTGAGACATTGGATTTTGTTTTGCATTGGGTTTTACATTGTCAGGTTTTAGTGAACTTATATTTACATACATGCAACCCTAACTTAGTTACGTGAGTGTATTGTCTATACCGATCAAATTCCTTCACCAATTTGCATTAGATGGGGTGACTTCTCAATAAGATTTGGGATATCTAATTCCTTCGTTACTTGTATTAATTGCGAAGTAAGTAAAGTCCACCTAACTAGTATAAATAAAGGCATAAGGCCACAAGAGAACATGTACAATTCACAACAACTCAACTCCCTATTTTCTCTTTCTTGACGACCCTCTCCTATCCTCACTCTAAATTTTCCTTCAGCAATATATTAAACTATAATTGATTTGCATTAGATCGGGTCGCTTCTCAACGGCTTCTCACTAGGCCGAGACCAATACTTGTTAGATCATCTAATAGTGGCCCCATGATTCAACCTTAAGGTCCATTGCATGCTTTCCAAAACATTTTTCATCTTGCTATGCCAGGTCCTACTCCAAAAAGGAATTGTGGACCTTTTTCCTCCTCGCAAGGCTGGATCCTACTCAAACATGGACTTGATCATTTTTATTTTATTAAGTAGATCTGGCATTTGTGTCGTGTTGTTTTCGTGAATATCTTATATCTGAACCGGTATGTCGTGTAACACTTATTACAATAAACAGATAATATGATCTGACCTGAAATCGATCTATTAATATTAGCGAATGAGTCGGGTCATATTACCCGTTAATATGACTCGACTCATTACCCGTTAATGAAAATATATTTTAAATCAATAAATAATCAAATGAAAAATATAATGCTAAATTAGTATCTACATACCACATTATCACATAAATATTACTTCAAAAAATGACTATTATTATGGTAACTTTTTTTAGTAGTTTTTTTTTAAAAATTAATGTACAATGTGAAAAATATAAAAAGAAAAATATACAAACGCTCATAATGACGAACTCTACAATTTTTGTGAAGAGGTCAACTCACAAATTCGCCACTATTATCCCATAACCCATAGATTTAAATTTAACCGTTGATTGTCATTTATGTTTACGCTCCATTCTTCTCACTTAATTTTGATTTTCCAATTTTGATTTTATTTTTAAAACATGATCTTTTAGCGGATGCAAAAAAATGAACAGTTCGGATCGTTGATATCACGTTCAATTTTTACGGTTAGTGAAAATATTACTCGAAGTTTATAAAGTCTCTAGAAACTATATATATAACATCGACTCATATTTCAGTTAACCGTAAACATCGGAATGTGATATCAACGATCCAAAGTGCATTTTTCTACATCCGCTAAAAGATCATATTTTCAAAAAAGAAATTTGAAAAACAAAATCCAGTTAAAAGAATAGAGCGTAAACGACAATCAACTGTTAAATATAAGTCTATGGTTTATGGATTATGGTATTTGAGTTCGGAGGTGGGCCCTTCACGAAAGTTGTAAAGCTTGTCATTACGAGCGATTGTATATTTTTGTAAAATGTTTCACTCTTCCACATTAATTATTATGAATTTTTATTAATTTTACACTCAAACAAAAAAACTATTCACGAGGGTTTGGAGAGTTTTAAAAATCTAAATGACAATGCAATCATTGTCTAATCCTAGATGATGCAATTAGGCGCGTTTATATATTCCTTCATAGTTTTCAACTTGTACATTAATTATTATGAATTTTTATTTACTTTGAACTCCCCCTAAAAACAGTATTCATGAGGGTTTGTAGAAGATGCGATAATGAGCGTTTGCATATTTTTTTTTTTCACATTTTTCACACTTGTAAATGAATTATTATGAATTTTTTTTATTGTGCTTTGGTATTTTTAAATTGCTATGTATTTTAATGTGCTTTATAAATTTTTAATCTCACTTATGTGAGATTAAGTACTATGGCTATTGTGGTAACTAGTAATGTTTTTTTAGTAGTTCATAATTATCAAACCGACTTTTTTATTAACGGATTGAACCGGGTTACCTGCGTCTAAATTCATTAAGAATGGGTGATCCAATAACGACCAGATTAGTTATTGGGTTGAAGTGAAACTCATTATTTTACCATTTTCGTATCATGTTAATGGGTCATGTAAAAAATTACCAAGTCTATTACTAAGCCAGTTCTCAATCTAATAAGGACTTGGACCATTTTCCCTTCTTGTTAGTCCGAGTCGTACTATAATAGGGACTTGGTTGGATGGATTTGATTGACCTCATCCCAAGTTGGCCAAGCACATTCCAAGTTGTTGAAGGATTTCATCTTTTCAGGTAACAACTATTTCATTAATCAAATAAAATGAGAAACATTATCTATTAAGAATCATTTCATGGTTTTTTCATAAACTTATTATTATTAAAAAAAGAGGGCGGGGGTTAAAACTATTATAATAATTTAGGGAAGGGAGAAGTTTCGAACCTGGGGCACACGTATGGAAACCCAACTTCCTATCCACTGGGATATTGGACCTTATAAACACAACAGAAAAGATAATACAAAACCTACCCCATATAGCCACTTCTAACTAAAAGAATGATAACACTAAAGAAGACAAAGCCTTATATCACTTTCTAATGAACTTACAAAATACGACTCTTATTCGGCAATATGAGACATCACGAAGATGTCACCATAGTCCTTTACCAAACCATGGCCGTTCAGATGATGGGCTATGGATGTAATCGGCAAAATTACACCTTCATTTGAAGCAGCAAAGCATGCATAGATACTTATGGTGACCGACTACTTTGCTAAATGGGTCGAAGCAAAATCATAGGCCGAATTAACGTCTAAGGAAGTTTGCAATTTTTTAGAAGAAAACATTGTGACCAGATTCAGGGTACCAGAGATGATCATAACTGACAATGGCATAATTTTTACAGCCAATAGGTTTAAAGAATATACGGCGAATTTGAAAATCCAACTCGAACAATCCACGCCGTATTACCCACAAGCAAATGGACAGTCTGAAGCAAGTAATAAAGTTTTGATCGGCATTCTTGAAAAATGATAAAAGAAAAGCCTGGTATGTGGCATTTGAAGTTAAATGACGCTTTATGGGCATATCAGACTTCACTCCGATCAGCAATAGGGACGACCCCATATGCATTGATTTACGGGCACGACGCGATGCTACCAGTCGAGCTAAGTATAAACTCAATGTGAGTAATCGAACAAAGTAGTTTGATTAGTGCCTAGTACAATCAGGCCATGAGGCAAGAGTTAGAAGACTTAGAGGAAATTCATCTTGATACCTATAATTTATTAGTGGCGCAGAAAAAGGTTGCTGAGTGGGCTTATAATCGATGGGTCAAACTAAAAACATTGCGCAAAGGTGAGCTAGTTTGGCAAACTGTATTGCCAGTGGGAATTAAAGATCCTAGATTCGGGAAATGGTCACCAAATTGGGAAGGACCATTCATTGTCTATAAAGTTCTCGGCAATGGGGCATACCACCTCAAGGATCGAACCGGTCTGATTCATAAACTACCAATTAATGGAAATTTTTTAAAAATTATTATCTAGTCACTTGAGAGATACAAGAATAAAAAGTTCATTTCATTAATTTTTGAAAAAAGGTGTACAAAGCAGAACTGATTAACCAATTTATAGCTAAAGACAAAGTTCTAAGAGGACAAAGGAAAGAAAGCTTCGAGGGTGGCTTTCAACTCTAACCACCTTACTTCGCCTATTGTGACTTCGGCTTGCCGTGTTCTCTTGTCCATCTTTAGCTGCTCAATCCGATTCGTGCCAGCCATGTATTCAGCCAAACGAGGTTTGCTTAACTTAAAAGCATTTGCAAGATTAGAGGCAACGACCGACCTAATCGAGGCCAGGCAGTTATTCTTTCTTCACTTTTATCGTCTCGACCTCTGGACGAAGAGCCTCTTGAGTAACCGTTATAGCCTTAAAGTCATCTTCTGCTCAAAGAGCTCTCTTAAAGATATCAAAATATTCTTGGGTTCATTCTAGGATAGAAGACAGGAGAGTGACAGTTTCATTGCTCAATAGGTCATCAGCTACAAGGTCGTTCAAACATTCTCCTACATTGTCAAGGCCTTTGCGTTCGAGGATTTAGGAAGTCGAGAGAGACAAGAGCTCCTGCAACTTGACAAGGGCATTTGACTCAGCCGCTGATACAGAAGTCTGACTGTAGTGGCAGAAGGATCGGTCGTCCCCAAAGAACCGGAAAGAAGGGCGTTAAGTTCGATTTCCCATGAAGGCTGTGTGTAGAAATATATATGTTTAGAAAAATCAAGTCAGGGGAACTGAAACAAGGAAGGTTTGCTTTAAGACCTGTCGATAGGAGACTTCGGCTGTGTTTGCTGGTTCATTGCTCAAACCTAGAGAAATTAATGACCGAGCCCAATGTGTAAGGGTTCCTCTTAATTCACGTAGCCAATGGAGGCTATCCACATTTGATGGCCACTAAGGCGGCCAAGAAATGTAGATAACACCCTTTGATGCATATAATTTTTGGTGAAACGAGTAATTGGGCACCTGGCATTTAATATTTTCTTGGTTTAGACTTCTAAAGCAGAAAGTTAATAAAAAGATAATGAAGGTTCTTACAAAAGCCGAAGTGACCTCCTAAGGAGGAATGCCAAGATTCCGATCTTGGGGATGAATCAGTGTCTTTGCTGTCGCTTCTGGTTCGACAGAAGGTACTGCTTCATGCCCCGCGCTCGCTTCGGTTGCATGAGGGTTGACTTGGCCAATTGCTTTGACCATCGGCTGAAGATTGGTGGGTGGCAGTTCGGCCAACTGAGGCCGCCTCACCAACTGGGGTCCCTCGCTCTCGTCCTCCTAGACAGCAAAGGCTTTTTCATTACTCTAAGAGTTTCAAAAAAAAAAAAAAATTGCTAACAAAATGGTGGTACCTCTTCTTCCACGACGATTACTGATTTCTTTTTAAGATTTGGGGGAAGACTTTTCTCAGCCAAAGTAGCCGCCTTCCCCACAACAACAGCTACTGGGCCGACCCTAGAGTTGTAGGACCTTCGACCAATAGAACGACGACTGGTTCGCCCATGGCCGGAATAGTGGGGTGAACTTTAGTCAACTGATCCATTGGAGGATTTTGCAGTTCTCTCATCAAGGCCTTGATGATAGAACGAGGGAGAGAAACGTTAGGAGCAGTTGCTCCTGTAGTTTGACTAGAGATAACATAAATCTCCCACTCTTCTTTCTTGGCAAATTTCTTGACACGTTTTTTAGGCTGAAGAGCGTCTCCTGCAGTTTCGACTTCCGGGTGAGGTCGTTTGCTCGGTGGAGTCAGCACAGTAGCTGCCGCCTTTTTCATAGGAGGGGTAAGTTTTTTCTTAGTTGCGGCCATCGCAACCACTTACACCCTCTTTATAGTACGACCACCTAAAAACACTTGAGTTTAAGTCATAATGAAGTTTGAAATAAATAGATGAACAAGATAAATAAGAAGGTATATACCTTGGGTCGTTTATTTGGATTTTGGGGTAAGAGTCTTTTTGGGTCGATCACCAAAAAGCTTCTTGGAAATTTCCTCGATTGAAACACTAAAAAGTCCCTAGTGTATGGATCTTACCAGTCGATGAAGGTGCTGGCACATCAGGTTTCTAGAGTGTTCAACCGAAGGTGGAACTTCAAACATCGCTCCTCGAACCTCTTCTCGGCTATTTCTCATTTTCTCTCCGAAGATCCTGAGAGGCGTTATCGGTTCAGAAGTGAGTGAGAATCAAGGAACAATAAGGGGTTCCCTTAGAGATAGCCCAGCTGATGAGCCAGGAAGTTAAGATGATAGTCTTCCTAGCTTCCTCGTCAGGCTTCGTAACCGTAAGGTAGGTCACGAGTGATGATAAAGGATCCATATGACATTCAGAGATCAGCTTCTTCGGCCTCTTCCCATGCTGATTGTGGGAGGACAATAGATTATGGATATGTTAGGCGACGACAGACTTGGAATTCATCGTTTGACAAGCCCTCTAGGTTGAAGAAATATTTGAAGATTCTTTCGGCCGAGTGAGCAGGAAGAGGGCGTGAGGCCAGTTCCTAGCCCATTGCCTCGAAAGGGTTAAAGCTCGAGACTTCTGGCCGCATTGTCAAGAAATAGACCTGCAGCCAGAGCTAGAAGACCCAAATTAGGCCGTTTTGGTCGGGGTCGATCTTCCCTGCAAAAGCATCTGCTAAACACCGATTGAGGTTAGCGAGGATAGCTGGGCTAAGAGCTAAGATAAGATCACTAGCTAGGGCTTTGATAACTGGTATGTTTTCGGCCAGACATTTATTCAATTTGGCACAAAAAATATACTTGTTGTACCAATAGAATAAGAAGGCCCCATGTTCCCCTCTCTTGTGAGCTTCCCCTTTCGAGTCGACGAAATGGATGATCAGGGTGTTGCAGTTAAAGAAGTTCTTGTGCAGCTTCTGCGTGTCTTCTTTCGACGGTCTTTGGCCTCCTTGCATCAAGGCTTCGATGAAGCGATCTTCGAAAATGATCTTCACGTCCATCAGAATCTCTACCCAGAGAGAGCAACATCGACTGAGTGGCCGGTTGGAGAAGTGCCAAGTATGGCTATGATATCCAACACAGTCGGACCAAGGGGGCCGAAGGGAAGAACCATCATGTTGGTGGCCGAGCACCAAAAGCTTAGAGCAGCCCTCATAAGTTCTCGGTCCAAATTCATCTTGATGGTGAAGAGTTTGATGGCATAAAAAATGCTAAAAGATCTCCACTCATCGTCGAAGTGTAGCTACATCCGGGTAACCCAAGCAGCCTAGGCTGAAGTAGTTGAGGGCCAAACACCTTGGAGTTTGGCCGATTCCCATTTCGACCAATCGTAACCTTGGAAAAAGGGTTTCAGGCAATGTACTTTCAATATTTCGATGATGGTTTCTGGGACATCATCCTTGAAGAGTGGGCCGAAAGTTTGATGAAGAACATTTGGTTCATCCTCGAATCGAATGGTCTTGATGGTGTTTCCATCAGTAATGCTTCGACACTTGTTGCATTCCTCGACGAACTAAGTAATGAATGTATTTGCAGCCATTGAAGAGGATGAAGATTTTCTGAGTTTCAAAGTAAGGTTGGTTTTCTGAGTTTGAGAGTAAATGGCAAAGAAATTTGAGAATTTTGAGAGCATAAAAGTCTGAATGAAGGAAGTTGGGTATTTATAGGCTTTGAGGAAGAAGACCAATGGTTTTACTTTGAAAAGTTAGGGGTAGATTCAATCGCAATGTCATGCAATCATGACGAATACTTAGAGAGTCCAGGTGACGAGGACGAAAAACTCGTAGATTAAGGATGCATAATGGCGTGTGATGGCGGGTTTTATAAAGAAATGACGTTTTGGTGCTCGCATGAACTCGAGGATGCCAAAAAGTTTGCGAATCAAGAATACACGATTGAATTTAGTGGCGAGTTTATAATGAAACGACGTTTTAATAGGCCACACACCTTAAACGTCATCATTAGGGGTTGACATGTTGGGAATATGCCACGTGGCAAAAGGGCCTGACATGGTTGAAATCGTGTAATTGTTCGCCATAAATGTATCTCAGTGATTGTGAAATTTGAGGTCTCTCGGTGTCCTTTGGTAATATGTTAAAAGGGCGATTTCACTTCTTCAAGGTCAGAATTCGGCCAAGATTTGCAGGCCAACGGCCTCATAAGTGAAGGGGCAACGTTTGAGCCCAAAATAATATTATTGGGCCGAGCCTAGGTTTGTTCTCGGCCCAATACTCTTCCAAAAGTATTATGGGTCGTCCAACCACCATAGGCCTCCTAATTAAGTTGGCCGAGTCTTATTGTTAGAATGATTGGTTTGGATAAGGGCAAAGAGGTTAAATCCTGGTACAACGAAGGGTCTCAAAGTTGAAAGCGCTGAGAATTAGGAAATGAATATGGTTCATTATAGAGTTTAGTTCAAAGACCTGTTGGAACTTGGATTGGCTATTTAGGAGTTCTAGTCTGAGTGCATCTCTGGTTTAGCTAGGAGTAAGTTCACTGCTATAAATAGAAGATGATGTGCACCATGTAAAGCCTCCAATTCAACAAACAAAACTGCCATGTGCAAACTCTCGCTATACGTGAAACCTTTCAACAACTTTGAGATTTTTCTTTTCTTTTTTCCCGCCAACACATCTTCAGTTTAGATAAACATCACTGTGAAGGCAATTGGCGACATCTTCAGTTTGGATAAATAGCACCAGAGCCGTAGAATCAGCCGATCAAAGAGCACCTTCAGTTTGGATAAACAGCACTGCTTTTCGGCCAACTGATTAACTATCCAAGTCTCGATAAACAAGGATTTTTGAGTCCTTGTTGGTAGAGGTCATCTTATCAGCCTTCTTGGCGAAGTGAGGCATTACCAAGTTGCTACATTCAGCATATTGAAAGCCAAATCTGATATTGAACTTCGCAAAACTAGCAGCCTTATCTTCAGGCTTTAGAACCCAAAGGCTGAGACATGTTCCTTCCTCGGCCGTAGTCACCAGATCAAGAAGTCAGCAGCCCGCAACATCAACACATTTTACTCCCCAGCCGAACTCAATAGAAGAGTTAGCACGCCCTGCATATAACCGAAGGACGTAGTTAGCTTATTAATTACTTGGCATGCGCGTCACGTAGGTTTGGTAGTTTTTAGGGCCATTAGAGATTTACGTGTGTTGGGATACTAGAATTAATGATGTGTAAATGCCAGTAGGAGGAGATGAGCTGGGATTCACATTAGAATTATCATGTAGAACTTGTATGTATGAGCGTCTAGATATTTATTGTTACGTTGAACTAAGTGTGTGTGCTTATACTTGCGATTCATATGGTTTGATGTAAGAAGTGGATGTATGAGGTATGTGTATGTGATGTGTGATTATGTGACTGTACTTTGTAGTAGTATGCTACATGGATGGTCTTGCCTAGTTAATCCACATTAGAAAACCATATGAATTCTATAGGTGACTCTGCTTGGTTAATCCGCATTAAGGGGTTACGGCCTCGATTACGTGGTTTCCATAGGTGGTCATGGTTGGTTAATCTGCATTGGGGTACCATACTATTAGATGCATACCTATCATACTACCTGGTTAATCCACATTGGAGGACCATAAGCATTCTAAGAATGGTCCTGCTTAGTTAATCCACATTGGGGAACCTTACTATTAGATTATGGATGGTCTTGCCTGGTTAATCCTTATTAAGATACCATATTTATCTAAGGGTGACTCAGCCTTTTTAATCCTCATTAAGTTACATTGTTCTATAGGTGGTCATGCCTGATTAATCTATATTGGGAGACCACGCTATTAGATGCTTATCTATGGTCCTGTTTAGTTAATCCACATTGGAAGAGCATACACATTCTAAGGATTGTTTCATTGGTTAGTTAGGAACCCTCATCCGTTTTGAGTTCGTTGAGTTAGTCTGAAGTACCACTTCCTATTTGGTTTCGTTGTTTTGGTCCATAACCCTCATCTGTCTGGATTTCATTAAGTTAGTCAGGAATCCCATTTCCTATTCGATTACGTTGAGTTGGTCTGAAACCTTCCTGACCTCTAGATTCATGAATAAGAGTTTCTCAAGGGGTACTCTTTTATTTGTAACTTGAAGTTACCTTGATATTCTTCGAATCTATGTAGAGAAATATAGAGATTGGCTTTATTAACTTTTTTGAAATGATATTTGATCTTATTATTGATTAATGTGGTTAAATGTTAATATTGTGCATCTTTAGTTCATTAAAATGTGAATTATTGTTGGAAAAAATTATGATATATATGGACGATTGAATGATATATTGGCGTATCACTCGCATTAGGAGTTATTTGGCTCTGATTTTCGGTCAATTAATGCCATGAAATATTTCGGAACTAAACAAAATGGTGACCTATGAATGGCTTGATATGTCTTTTGGTATGTAAGAAGCTTAAAACAAAGGTTAAATGCAACCACAAAATAAGAGGAAAGGATATTACGTTGTTGAACTGTTGGCTTAGTTTTGGTCATGTCTCGAAAGTGAGTGAGAGTTAAATAGATGCGTTTTGGTGCAACGTGTCAATCCTAGATGTATCTCGAGATCGGAGCTTGACATTTGCCAAGCAAACAACTAAAGCCCGAAAATAACTTGATACCCTTAAATGCACACGTACACATCATCTGATATGCTAATGTCACTAACGCCATTGTGTGAACTGGCTCAAGATTCAATTGAAGGCCACCAACCAAGAATTACAGTCATTGTCAGCGCCAAATGACATATCTAACCTTGCTCCAACATAAGGATATGGTTGAGGTTGCTCCTTCTCCATTGCCTATAATAAAACTAGAGGCCTTCAAACTCGGGACTTTCGTTATATTCAATCCCAACGATTAAACAAAAGCTTTCGTGAATATTTAATCAACCTAACAGCTTTTCAGAACAAATTGAGTTGCCTTTCAACTAGAACTCTCTTAGTTCTTCAATTACAATCTCAAGGCCTTCCTTCAAATCAAACATTGCCTATGATCCCTGAGATCTAAAACTTTTATAGCTCGGCCAACTTGTGGTATGATTAAGTGGATGTGCAATTCTAACCATCCTGATTTCCTCTCTGAGGTGCATGTTTTGAAATAAGTCCAATCCGACAACAGTGATCTCGATGGACTTCTCTAGCATTATATTGTCTTTCATGGACTTCTCTAGCATTACATCAAGTCATGTAGCTCGACCCATCAACTTAAATATTACTTTTAATTAATTTTTTTAATCTTGACTCCATCATGAAATGATAACATTTTGTTTCTCATTTTAATTTCTATTTTCCATTTACATTTTAGGCAAGCATACATGAAACACATTGAATTTGAAGTCCTCGTTCCCTCGAGAGACATAAAAGAACTTTACCAAACCAGAGTCTCACTTTGTGCACAATCATACAAAGTTAGATTAACGCGTAATTTTTACACACACTCAAATAGTGGAATGCCTGTTCACTCTTTCTCTTAAACCATCTCGTGGTACTGAGATCGAAAACAATATTCAATGCAAATACATGTTGAATCCAATTCAGAGTCTGCTCGAGTTTTGATACCAACAACCAAGTAGAATAAATAAAACACCAAATAAATACAATTATGGCCAACTAGGGATGAGCATGTCCATGGCCTTATGGTCTAGTTAAATCCATCCAACCATGTCCTTATTAAAGTAGGACTCCGCCGGACTCCGCCTAACATAGAGGAAAAGGGCCAAGTCCTTAATAGAATGGGGCCGTATCTAAGAAGATGAAAATGGACAAAGTCGTTGTTTAAGGAGAAGGGTCCAAATCTTTCTTTGAGTAGGGACCCGGCCTAGCAATGGGGCAAAGGGATCCAAGTCTTGTTTCAGTCGAACTAGGCCTAGAAAAGCAAAAGATGGTTCAATCCTTAGTGATGAAAACGAGAAAATATTTATTCTTCTATGATACAGCTTGGAAGACCTTAAGGTTGAACGGGGCCACTTCTAGATGGCCTAGGGAGGATCTACAGATGGACCTTGGAGATTCGAAGACCCCTCGGCAATCCTAAAATGCTGTTAGAAATTTTTCGAGGGACCCCTCGTACTCAAACACGGTGTCTATGCTGGAGGTTGTAGCTTGCAACAGAGAAGAAGACAACGGGGGAGAAGAAAGAAAACATGGCCTTTTTAAAAATTGGTCCAAAACGCAGTGTTTTGGCCTTTTTTTTTTTAAGCCAATGAGACAAATGGTGTTGTTTGTCCATGATTCCATATTCTTTTAAAGCCTAGCCCCACATGGGCCATCTTTCTCGAGAGTCCCTTTTCCTTTTCCCATTCCTTTGCTTTTCACCCCTGATCCCTCCATCTTTCTTATATTCACCCAAAACCCTAAATTTCTAATCCCACCCAATCCCATACTATAATTACATTACTCCAATATCATACCTCCACTTATTTCAATTCTTCAAGCCACCACTATTTGGTTCAAAATTCAAGTAAGTTTTTGGTATTCTAATCTAATCTCAATTAAATTATATTAGATATTAGTGGAGATTTTTAGTCTATTATTGATATGATTGTTGATATGTTTTATGTTTGTATACTCATTTTATCATTGAAATTTAGATGGAATTTTTGTTTATTGGTTGATTGGTATATGTTTTGTGTTTTTGGTTAAATGTGTAGTTTAGAAATAAGAAATATGGAAAGATTTTTCAAGCCAAAGCCAATAGCACCATCTACTTGTCAGGTAGTTCGAGCTCAATGATGCGAAATATATAAGCACACAAATTAAACCCTCTTTTTATCAATTGTAGCAAAGTATGTATGTAGGGATCGTTCTAGGCCGAGGATTAGGAGGGATTGCCAAATCACTTGAAACTGACTCAAAACGTAAAAACAAAGTTTAAAACACTAAACTAGACTCAAAGAATGCAAAACTAAACTATAAAACACCAAAACAAACCAAAAGACTCAAAACAGCAAATAAACACTCAAAACTGCCTTAAAAACACTTTCTGGGCAGTTTTGAACACCTAACACTAAATTGGACGAAATTGAGTTATGACTTGACTCAAGACACTTAAAAACACAAACTAAATTGATTTCTAACTAATCTAACACTTCAAATAAATGGGGATTGAGTTTTGACGAAAATTGAAAACAAGAACAAACTTTGTAAATTGAACAGATTCTAAAACGAATTTGATAAAAGTGAATGGATGGAAAGCTAGCTTAGGGGTTCTTCTCCACACATGTCACACTTGCATACAAAACGATTTCCAATTGCTTCTCAATAAACCATGAATTCCCAACACCCCAGATTAACCGTGAATTTCACTAATTAACCCTCAGATTTTCCTTAAGTTATTGAATTGGATGAATTGCATACGACAACCCAAAGCATTCCCCACAAGTTCCCTACATGAATTGCATAATAGAGATACAAGCAAGAATCATTAAGTTCTATGAAAATCATAAGCATTGGCAAAGCACTCGTTACTATGAATTGCATGAAACTTATGCCAAGAATTTACTTAACACGATTGTGATCAACAACCTTTACTACTTGTGAATATAAGTTCATAACGATTAGGTTAAACTCCCTTACATCCTAGCATCAAACTTATGCATGAAAATTAAGCGTGCACTCTCAACCAACATACACAAATCAGTTTTAATTCATGTAGATAAGTAAATTGAATTCACAACTTATGAAACGCAATTAGAAGTAATCAAATCATATAGCAAGCATAAACATGGTTTCAAATTCCCCCCTAGCCAAGGGGGGTTTAGTTCCTCATACTCGCAAAGCAAAGATACATAAATTTAGACATTAAAATCCAAAAAAAGAAAACACCTAGATACTCCAATTTGGACAGCAGGTGCATCCACGAATTCTCCTTCCTCCTTGCTACGGCACAAAGACTTTGGACAGGTTTTTGGGTGGTATTTGTATGGGAGAATGGGTAGGGAATGGTATGGAAGGGTTTAGGATTGATGGGGGGTGCGGCAAGGGGTGAATTTTGGCAGAAATTTGGGAGAATGGTGGTGGAAGACTACGGCAAAGAGAGGGAATGATTTCTGGCGAAAATTCTGAATATGGAGGGGTGGTTGATGTGTTTTTGATGTAGTGTAATATGTAGTGTTCTTCCCTTCACTCCCTATTTATAGAAGCTCCAAAGCAAAGAATCACTCAAGTGGCTTCAATAAACAATACAAACAAAGACCAAAATGATGCAAAAACAGCTAGTTTACATGCTCTTTTATCATTGTGTCTTGCCTTTAACAAAAGGCAATCATTCCTCTTTTGCTAATTCAACTCCTTTGTAGCTATCCATGTGCCTTCATTCTTCAATTTCTGATGCATTTGCCTTGTATTCCATCCCTTTTCCACATGTACTAGCTGTTAGACAACTTTCACACACATGTTTTGCATCATTTCATCTTGCAAACATCAACTTTTGGCCACTTTACACCTCTACACACATGCTATGCATCATTTCAGCTTGCAATTATGTTTGTAGTTGCTGAAAATGTGAATACATCTTGTAAAGCAATCCAACAAATGGCATCTTTCACTTCTTTTCCTTTCAAATTGTTCCTTAAGTGTATGTATCTGCACACTTCCACACTTCAACTTTATTATTCAGATTTTTGCATGTGTTGAAACCCTTTTTAAAACACCAAAAACGTCCATTCCACTTGCTCCATATGCATGCAATCCATTTTGGCCCAAAATTGCTCCAAATTGCACAAAAATGCACTTTCTTTCCAACTTTGTTATTAGGACCTACAAACACATGAAAATAGCTTAAAACACTCTTATAAGCAATAACTAACTAAGTAAATGCAAGAAAACATGTTAACTAAGTCGCATAAATATGCTCCTATCACTCAAGACAAAATGAGTGTGACATTGATTTTAATAATCTTGAGAGAGACTTGGGAAAAAGAATTCAAATGAAGGACTATCCATCTAATATTCAAGATGAGGTCCGAAGAGCATATTTGCAAATGGGACCTTGTAGGCCTACAAAGTATGAGTTCCCATACACTTTGCATGCAAAGAAAAGACGATGATTTGTTGTTTCGTGGTTGGAAGAATATGATTGGTTGGATTATAGTATATCTAAAGATACGGCATTTTCTCTTCATTGCTATCTCTTTAAAATCAACTTTTCACAATTAGGAAGCGATGCCTTCACTGGGGTAGGCTTTAAGAAATGGAAGAATGCAAGAGAATGTTTTGACAAACGTGTTGGTCCTATTGATAGTTTCCACAATAAAGCTAGAGAAGTGGCTAATTATCTAATGAACCAAAAGACACATATTGAAGCAGTTGTGATCAAACAGTCAGAAGAAGAGTGTATGAAATATCATCTTTACTTGAATGGATCAATAGATTGCACTAAGTTCTTTTTGCGACAAGGCCTTCCTTTTTGTGGTCACGATGAAAGAGACACTTCAAATAATAGGGGGAATTATTTAGAGCTCTTGCAATTCCTTGTGGATCATGATGAGAAAATAAGGGAAGTTGTGTTGGAAAATGCTTTGGGAAATCTCAAGCTAATAGCTCATTCAATTCAAAAAGATATTGTCAATTCATGTGCCTTCGAAACTATTAAGGCTATTATGAAAGAAGTGAAGGAGAGCAAATTCTTTTCTATAATGGTAGATGAATCACGTGATATTTCAACAAAGGAGCAAATGGCAGTGATTTTGCGTTATGTGGACAACAAAGGTCAAGTAATTGAAAGGTTCGTGGGAGTCCAACATGTTACCGAAACAACTTCAAGTAAACTAAAAGAATCCATTGATGAGTTCTTGAAACTACATGATTTGAGCTACTCCAACCTATGAGATCAAGGTTATGATTGCATGCGTAATATGAGAGGTGAGTTCAATGGCCTTAAAAAAAAATTTGGATGTAGAGAGTTGTGCATTCTATGTTCATTGTTTTGCTCATCAACTTCAATTAGCTCTTATTGTTGTAGCAAAGAAAAACTCCAATGTTACCGCTATTTTCACATTGACTAATAGTTTGGTGAATGTTGTTGGATGCTCATGTAAGCGTCGTGATGCACTTAGAGAGAAACAACAAGAAAATTGAAGGAAATTTTGTGAAAAACATGTTCATTTGAGCAACATCTATGACATGCAATTAACATTTAAAGGCGGAATCATGCTTGTATGCACTCAAAAACAAAACATTACCCATGAAATTCAAAGCCTAGTAGAAAGGTGAACCAAGACTCAACTCAAGAACAAAGTGAGTTGAGACATTTTATACCTTTGTTGATTCCTCTTTGCATAAGCAAAGGCTAATCACCCAAGGAGAGGGCCTTCATTCCTTGCTTCTTAGATCCACGGATTTCTTGGATGAGGATGGTTAAAAGGATTATCCAAGTTCCCAAAGTTGAGAACCTCTAATTTTTCCACACCAAGGATGGACTTGAAGAAGAGATAAGTGACCTTGGAGGAGGAAAGATTGCTAGCTAATCTCCTCCAAGGGGCCAGCCTCCTAGAGAGAAAGGGAGAGACATGTTCTCTCCAATTTTCTCCAAAAGAAAACCCTAAGGATGAAATGTCTATAAAGTTGCCTTTATACCACCTCACAATGGAGTGGCAAACTTGCAATTAAGCCAAGTTCACTACCCCTCTCTACATGGCCGGCCATTAAGGGTTCATTGGGCTTTCATGCATTTTGTGTTTTAAAGTTGTCATACTACTTGAGTTAATGGGCTTGACATTCAAATCCCATTGGGCCTTGCGGCTGATGCGAAAATTATCTTAACACACAAATTTAACCCTATTTTGACAATTGTAGTACAAGTATAAGTAGGGATCGTTCTGGACCGGGGATTAGGAGGGCTTGCTAATAACCTCTAAACTGACTCAAAAACATAAAACTAAACTTAAAAACACTTAACAAGACTCACAAGACTCAAAGCAAACTTAAAATACTCAAAACAACTTAAAACAACCAAATAAACTTAAACTAGACACTAGGAATGACTTTGGACGAAAATTGACTTTTAATTGAATCAAAACACTTAAAAACACAAACTAAAACAGATTTGAAACACTTTGAAACAGGAAACTAAAAGGGGGGGTTTTGATTTGGATGAAGTTGAAACAAACAAATAAGTATGAAAAACTAGACAGATTGTAAAACAAATGTGAGAAATAAGATGATGGATGTGATAGCTAGAGGCTTTTTCTCCACACATGACATGTATGCAAATAACTCGATTTCTAGTTACTACTTCATTGAATTATGAACGATAATGCTCCAAATTAACCGTGACATCACTAGTTAACTCTCAGATTTTCCTTATTTTATTGGATTGGATGACATCATTCGACAACCCAAAACACTCTTCTAAAGTTCCCTACATGACATCATAATAGAGATACAATCAAAGATCATTACGTTTAATGAAAATCATAAGCATTGACAAAGCACTTGCAACTATGACATCATGTCGCTTATGCTAGAAATTGAACTTAACACGATCGTTTATAAGCGACCTTCACTACATGTGAATATAAGTTTGTAACGATTATGTGAAACTTCCTTATATTCTAGCAACGGATTTATGCATGCCAATTAAGTGTCGACCCTTAATTAACAAATACAAATAAGTTATCAATCAAATAGTTAAGCCAATTGCATTCACGATTCAAGAGTTCATAACTGGAATTTATCAAATTATATTGCACACATAATCATGGCTTTAAAATCAACCCTAGCCAAGAGGGGTTTAGCCACTCATATTCACAAAAGAACAAAAGAAAATGAATTTAAACATTGGAAACAAAAGAAAGAAAACACCTAAACGCTTCAATAATCCAAGTTGGACAACAAGCACGTCCAAGCACTTTTCTTCCCTTCCTTTGCTATGGCACAAGGTGTTGGTGAGTGTTTGAATGTTTGTTTGTATGGAGGAATGGCTGAATGTGTTTAGGTTGGATGGAGGTCACGGCAAGGAAAGGGAAATAAAGGTGCATGTAATTGTGTTTTTGTTGTGGGAATGTGTAGAATGGTTAAGAAGAAAAGACTCTGCCTTGCGGCAGAATGTGTCTTCCTCCCTTCTCCCTAAACTGTCCCCCTCAATGTGTCTTTAGATGGATATATTTATAGGCTAGGGAGAGGATGTAGTGGGTGGTGGTAATGAATGGATGTAGTGGTAGGTGAATGTGTTGGGTGGTTGAAATGAGTGGATGTGTTGGTAGGTGAATGTGTTGGGTGGTTGTAATGAGTGGATGTGTTGGGTGAAATGAGTGGATGTAGTGGTAGGTGAATGTGTTGGGTGATTGTAATGAGTGGATGTGTTAGGTGAAATGAGTGAGTGTTTGGTAATGAGTGGATGTAATGGGTGTAGTGGATGGATGTTTGGTAATGAGTGGATGTAATGGGTGTAATGGATGAGTGTTTGGTAATGAGTGGATGTAATGGGTGTAGTTGATGGATGTTTGTAGTTGTAGGTCAACACACTTGCACACACACATGCTGATTTCTAGCCTTCTAATCTTCAAAAATGTCCATCCTTATGTCTCCATGCTTGCACTATCCAATCTGGACCAAAAATGCTCCAAAATGCTCCAAATAACACTTTGTTGCCAACTTTGTTATTTGAACCTACAAACACACGAAAATAGCTTAAAGTACTAAAATAACTAGAATAAAACTAAGTAAATACCAAGAAACAAGCTAACTAAGTTGCATAAATATGCTCCTATCAGCGGCCCAAAACTAACTCGAGGTCTTTAACGAACTTTATTCATTTGATTAATTAACATATTAATTAATCCTTGCCATAAATAATTAAACCATTTAATTATCCTTACTCATCTCCGTTGTTTCTTCAATCTCTACCTTACACGATGTACAATCCATTAGGTTCCTTTTAGCAAGATAGTGGGCGATTAGAACTCTTTCAAATCGATTGTGAATTGAAACTTACTTTCAATTCTCCCTTTAGTGATTATACACGTTTAGGGCTTCCACAAACCATGAGTGACACCTAGCAGTATGTCATGGTTACCCAAGCTAATCAGAAGAGGTATAGAACCTATTCAGTTTAGGATTACAATGTAATACGGTCTTTCTCTAATACAATACTCTTAACCACATTGTTTGGTTTGATAGTTTAATCATGTCTACTATCCAATGTGATTCATTTACTTATATGATTACCTTGAATGTGATTTGGAACGACTTCCTAACTCTCATTCATACTCTGGCCAGAGATTCTTAATCATATCATACAGTATTCTCCCTCAAATGGTTTGAAGGTTAGAGATCCCTTGTTGCGTATTCACTTGCCTCCATGGCTAAGTGGCTTAACCCCAACTATGCCGTGGACACCCTCTGACAGAGTGACTTTGACATAGTCAAAGATCAAGGACTTAACCACAAGACAACTATGATGCCTAAGGTCAAATGACTACTTTGCATTATCCCAACCATGAGTTCTCATGTGACATGAGTATGAGAACTCCTCGTTGATCGTGTTCAGTGGACTCATTCTCTATTGAGCACCTACATGCTTGTCTTGGTGTCAATCACACCAATGACTCGAGACCAGTCACTCTCCCTAAGAGAAGACATAGCACATACTGATCTTAACGGACTGTCAATGCCCAATTGGCAATCCTATGATCAGGAACGTTTAGAATATGTATACGAAAGAGAATGGTCTCATGAATCTAACTTCTTTAAATTACATTCTCCTAATTACATATTCCTTGGACTTATCGTTTAAGCATATAACATTTATATGAGACGGCTTAAAACAATAATCTTTACCATTGATATTAAACTAGATTAGTTTAACATGTAAAATGTCTGTAAAGTATCATCATATGATTGGTTTTAGGGCACATTTCCAACAAAAATCTCATGAAAACTGTTGAAAATGATTGTCTTGAAACAAGGCAAGGGTTAAATCAAGAAACTAGTCTCAAACGTGCTGGAGATACATCGTGCTAGGGATACACTGTGGAATTCACATTATGCTGCTTTGATTAGTTTGATTACAATGTTCTCATCTGTGGTGGATGTGCTTGACATGATTGTTGAAGATTGCTACAATTGTAGTGTTGGTGAAGCAAAAAGATTATTAAAATATTTACAATCTTTTTGAGTTTGTGTTCCTCCTCTTTTTGATGAAATCCATATTAGGAGTTACAAACGATTTGTCACAAGCATTGCAAAAAAAAAAAAAAAAAGATCAAGAGATTGTGAATGCAATGGCTTTAGTCAAGACACGTAAAGAACAACTACGTTGCATGAGGAATGATGAAAAATTTGATCTTTTGGTTGATAAAGTGTCATCTTTTTGTGTTGAACATGAAATTGAGGTGCCTAATATGGATGATTTATATGTCATTCAAGGAAAGTCATTGCGTAAGGCTCCAAGAAAGACCAATCGTCATCATTACATAATGGAGCTCTTTTTTGAGGTCATTGATTTCCAACTTACAAAATTAGATGATCGATTCGCTGAAGGTAAGACCGAATTGCTTATTTGCTTGGCATGTTTGAGTCTGAATGATTCATTTGTAGCTTTTGATACAAAGACACTTGTTCGCCTTGCTCAGATGTATCTTAAAGATTTCACGGATCAAGATAGATCGGCACTTCAAGATCAACTTGATATTTACATTCATTTTGTGCGTTTGATAATGATTTTTCTCAATTGCGGGGGATTAATGAGCTTGCTAAGAAAATGGTGAAGAAAGGGTTGCATCGAACATTAGCATATGTATATCTGCTTGTTCAGTTGGCTTTGGTTTTACTAGTTACAACCGTTTCAGTGGAGAGGGCATTTTCCGCTATGAATATCATTAAAGGT